AGCAGGAAACATGGTGTTAGTGAAACTATACGTGCCGAGATTGGCCAGCCTATCCACGATTTGTCAACACGTTTGAAGCGTTAGGCTGAGCATTTCTAACGACAATTTACTACACTTGTATTGTTAGATACCTCACCGGCCAGTAATCGTCCTACTCCCTAGGCTGTCCCTTTGCATCCGCATTCTCGCTCAGAAATCTAACGTCAGCGGACTGATGCAGCTGCATAAAGCCGCGGAACTCGATGACTTTCATCCAACCCCCTTCAAATCGTGGTCCCTGCTCTTGTTAATGATTTACGAGAATTAATGGTAAACTTGAGAGGACAATAAACTGTCCCAACCGACTGGAGCTGCCCCGTTATTGTCCCGACCTTCAAAGGAGGCTGACGTTCGGAATGCAGTAGCCCCGGAGAGATCAATCTGATCTTCATCGCCGCCAAATTACTTGCTTCCGCAATCCTTCACAGACTGACTGGCGCTCGGGAAAGCCAGCTTCGTAAGGAGCAAGCAGGATTTCCTCCAGGTGGTGGATGCATTGATCACATATTCACTTTGCGTCAGTTGTTAGAGCACCGTCACATATATTGTCAGTCAACCGTTGTCCTGTTCCTCGACATCAAAGATGCCTTCGAGTCGGTTGATCGACGTGCTCTTTGGGACTGCCTACTCAGGAAAGGTGTACCCGAGAAATACGTAAACACTATCCGAGCGCTATACGCATGTAGCTAAGACAGCGTGAGGGCTTACGGCAAGTTGTCGCCACCCTTCAAAATATCCAGTGGTGTAAGACAAGAATGTCCGCTGTCAACTTTCCTCCTCAACTTCGCGGTTGACGAAGTCATGGAGCTCGCAGTCACTAAACATGACTTAGAAGGTGTGGGGTTACTGTAAGTGACAGATTCGCTTGGGGCTCGAGTGACTTGTAAAAACTCCCGGGTCCAGCCAAGAAAGAAAGCCGAGACGTTAACCGCGGTACTATTCAACAAACTAGAACGCAATTACATATTTACATACCTCAGCAGTGCCCGTTCGGTCCTGAAACAACCGGGTCTTCGTACAGTTCCACAATGAAATAACGTTAGCTCACTTGCTACCTTACAGCAAGGCCAAACAGCACAGATTCAAAGACAGGAATACGTGGGTTCTTTTTAAGGTGTCCGAAATGTTATCCCATTGCTCGGCGACTCGGCGCCAGGAAGATACACGGTATGCTTCCATTCAACTGGAATGAGAGTAATGCGTCTCGGTGCGGATATGGGCTCAAAGACTAACAAGTGTCTTGGTGCGCTTGGGGTTAGTAGAACAGGGGGAGTGCACAATAGTCACAGCGGGTATGCGAGGAGAGCAAATCCATGCCGAGTGGTGGGACACCTGGGCCTGTTACACAGTATGGGCGCGATCGTATCTTGCAACGGGGTTGGAATGAAACCACGTAGAAACGGTTAGGAGAACAATGAATCGCACAATAACCCGTAGGAGCTGCTGTCAGATGAGATTGTCGGAAACAAGTCCCGATACCATGGTGTGAGTTTGTTATCATTGAAGGCACGCCTGATAAGTTTGTCACTGGCACGGTTGGAGCACGGCTACGGTAACAGATTGGAACACTGGCCAATCGAAGGGATTTGCGCTGAGGTGATGGCGTTAGCTTATGCATGGGTAAGACGGAAATTGAACGAGCGTGAGAACGTCCCTAGCCACACGTATTCGGGTAGATGCTGAAACCTCGTAACGGACGATGCTACACACACGAGAGGGGGGTACGGTAGACGCACACTGGTGACTTAGACGCGAACGCTGCCCGGCCATCGACGCACACAAAATCACGTGACCCGACCGACTCCCAACCAATGGCGAAGAGAAAGAAAGGCACTCTTACGATCAACAAAGGGCAAATCACAGCCAATGCTATAGGTCAGTAAGTTAGGGAAAATAGCTACCACGATGGGTTGTAGTTTGTAGAAGTACATTGTCAACAGGTACGCGGTTGTGCCGCGTCTCGGCGTGGCTGAAAACTGCTACGTTGTGTGAAGAAATTGGACCCCGCTTTCCACAGCCATTACGCGGGAGTTTGGGGCGCGTTTTTGAGGGGATATTTGATAGGCTGGCAACAGAGTTGAAAGTAAGACATGGAGCTTTGCATAGCTAATCGCATGGGGTAGACAAATAATGGGTTATCCGGGATCTCAGTAGAAGGCGCAGATGATGTGGTCATCAGATTATGATCTTGACATGCAAGCAGCGGTTTTCATGGTCATTCTTCCGCTACAGTTGCTCCCAAGTGAACGATATTTTGTATTGGAGTATGATGACGATATTGCCCTTATCTGTGGCAGTTCATAATGGTGCCAAACAGTACCAGTCAGATTAGCGCTGGCTATCAGCTCCTTCGTGCTTTGCTTCGCACCCTCGAAGTGCGAAGCTTTACTCCAAGCTTGGCATGGGTCGCCTCCTGCGCTGACCCTTAGTGGGGATCAGCTAGAAGTTGTTCAGAAGTTCAAATTACTAGATATTTGTATCAGCGCCGTTGGAAATGAAGACGAAGTCATGAACCGTATGGCGAAACCGCGAGGCGCTTTGGTTAAACATCGCCACCAAAGGCGCCGGCACGACATCATTCTCACGCTGAAGGGCAGGGCATACAATGCAGCCGTACATTCGACCCTACTGTACGGTAGTTAAACATTGCCCATTAGATCAGTGGACATAAAGAGGCTAGTTAGGTTCGACCACCAGTGCTTTCGCAACCTGGCTCATGTCTGATGGGAACAGCATGTAAGCGCTAAGCGTATTCGACGCCTTGTTTATGGCGCTGGAAGAAGAAGCGAACCGCTCAGCACCGTTATTTTCCACACCAGGCTCCGATGGCCGGGCCACGTCTTGCGCATGCCAGCCCAACGACTCCCGCGACGTGCATTATTTGCGCCCCAGGGGTTCGGTTGGAAGAAGAGGAGGGGTGGCCAAGCGATGACTTGCTCGAGAGGAATGAACGCCCTTAGTGCGAAGTAGACCTTGGTTGGCGCCTCTCGGCTCCTTGGTTGGGGGTGCGAAGGACCATGAACAAGTGTGATTGGGTACACTTCTTCACATGGTTAGGAGCAGACCTCAGTGCCGTTTGTGCTGTGAATTTTTTGTCCCTCTCTCCAGCTTGGCCTCCACATCCGACCACAATCTCGACTCATATGCACAATATAATACTTCGGTTTTGCGGTACTATAGCCGGCTGTTAGCTGCCCGGAACGATGTCCATCCGTTACTGTTGACTCAGCCAGCATACCACTGTTACGTTTTTTTTAAAATTTTCTATTGAATTGCGGCCCAAGAGCTGCGCTTTTTCCATCTGCAGCTAACGTGCACAAGGTTGATGCTGATGACTGAAGCGCTTGATGACCAATAGGTATTCACAAAGGCTAATCGCCAATTACCATCAGTTACCATTAGCACTCTATTCTGTCTCGTAAGAGAAACGATTAAGACACCTAATCCAGAAACTTCATAGACTTTCGCTTAGATGATAGCTGAGCATGTTACACGTTGCGATGTGCAGATTTCAATGGCAGTCAAACTGGACCCATCATACAGTACATCCTCGGCAAAAAGCCGAAGTACCAAAATTGAAACGTCCGACACTGTATCGACAAAGTTGCTGCACATATTGCTGATTCGACTCCTTAACTCTACAGCGAAGTCACTCTGTGAATTTAGGAAGTCTTTCGATTAGGCATGTTCAAGTGAAAAGCTCAATGGCCGATTTGCTAGGTAAACAAGTTTTAGGCTGTTACTGATCAGATAGGTTGGTACACTTGTACCACAGAAATGATCAAAGTTTCGACCATTTACGAGTGATCTCAAGAAATGGCAGGCCATCAGGACAGTAGACGACCACAAAGCAAGATGACATCAACAGGTCTTACAAGTGATCAGCTCAGAATGTGCTCCAGTTAATCGGTGCCAAATGTAAAATATTGACTGTACGCACCCAAGGAACCTACGGATTTTGCCTAGGAGAGCCCGTTTCGTATTGCGTTCACTATGAAAATGATCTTGGCGCACTCGTGTATAACGACCTCGATGGCTCACGAGAGGTCTAGAAAGCAGCGTGAAATGCAACTCAACACTTGAATCGTCTTCGGAGAGATTCTGCTTTTACCATATTTTTACAAATGCGTAGTTTACTTGAGACCACATGTGGAACAATTCATCCAGGTGTGGCACCTTTGACAAAAACACGGGCTCACTACTTTGGGGACCCCAAAACAAAGAGCGGCTAAAACAATAGGGGTCACTCCATTTACATTGTCAATCTAAGCTGAAGGTCCTAGCTTTTATAGTGGACTATATCGTCATCTGCGGAAAGAGTTCATATTGGTGTAACAGATGCTCAAGTACTCAAGCCAGACTTGTTGACACTTTTTGCAACTTATCTATAAAATTTCACGGAGAGGCTATCACATGCAGTTGGCTTCACAGCACAGCCTGTTGGAACGCCCTTCTTCCACCGGAACGCTTTCTTCCTTCGTGTATCCTATTCCAGGAACGTTCTTTCGAATTCGGTCAGCTCCGCTCTCACGCAAACAGATTTCAATACTCGACTTATTGATGCATTAGATGTGTTAACCCAAGTAATCAGAACACGGCCTAAGGTGAACAATATGTGTTCGCATGTGAAACAAGGTGAGTTCACCGCTGCGCATTCACTTTTCCTTGATAGGTTCAACCTTCGGTTTCACTCTTTACTTACTGGAACTCTACAAAATTTGTCTTCTTATAATTTCCAGTTTTAGAATACAAATTGGTATTCTATAGGCTTGTATTAACGTTTCATCTTTGACACATGAGCTTCTTCTAAGAGTTTGGAAGTTATGAAATTCCAGTCGGTTCCAAGTTTATCCAAAAATACTGAACTTGCCTTTTTTTACCCCTGATTAATTCGCTATGCCACTGTTCCAAATGGAACGCATCAATACACCAAGTTTGGAGGGGGGCAGTGAACTTCTCTGATGGGGTTGTAAAGCATAAATGTTATTAGAATCATTGCATGCGCACGTAAACCTAAACAGTTTGGATGGTGGCAAAAAATCCCGATAGTAGTATGCACACACACACACACACACACACACACACACACACACACACACACTTAAATAAGGCCACAATAGAATCAGCTGCATCTGACATGAAGGGCGGAAACGTCGGGCACACGTCAGCCCGGTGAGCTGCTACATCCAACAGCGTGAACAAGGGGACGATGAAGTTACCACGTCGAGCATCTGCTCGGCTGATCCGTAGCTGGTCAGTGTTATGGGGAAATGCATACAAAATGTCCGTTATGTTTTGGTAAGAATGGCGCGGAGTGCGGCTGCATCACCAAGTGCGCTAAATTAGTTCACAGGGAGAAGCATCACCATTGAATACAAAGAAGTGAATGGTACACGCTATCACAGAACAGGCTTCGCCTGGGACCCGATAAAATCAAACAGTACTTCTGTGTATACATGATTGGAGTGAAAATATCAGGACCATAAATCAGACGTATCGTCTGGGCACCAATTCGTTAGTCAGTTGTGGAGGTCCGCTTGATAACGTACACATACCATTTGAGAGTACATATCTGATGCTGTTAAAAGTAAATTGCACACTTTCGAACAAACCTGCGCACCTGAAGATCGCATTTCTGTCAGCTGACAAGACAAACTTTGAAACAATTACCGAAGTGGAACACTGGAAGGCACACCATGAATTATCGCACTGGGAGATCGTAGGTGCACCTTTGTGATAAACATAGAAGTAGAACGTCGATGGATAACTAGTTGCAAAAGAGTATCTGATGCGGGAATGCAGAAGTCACTAGAATCGAGAGACATTTCAATGCCGGTCTTTCATTTGAAGTGCAAGAACAATGTGCCGTGATATAGGTGGATGTACGTCGTCATCTGGTCTAAAATAGTCCAGAGAGACTGTCGCTAACAGCCAGTTTCCCCGAGGTCTTTGAAACAATAGTGTCGAATGTATCCCCCAACCCCAACAGATCGGCCACCTCCCCGTCATCCGCGCTGGTCAGTTGTTCGCCCGCCTGATACTCTTCACTTCCTGCATGTTCCTCCAACTCCTTATTTTCTGGGGTCACCGGATCTTCGGGCTGATCTACAATACCTTTTAGCGCCGGCACTTTTGTATCACTCAGTTGGTAGTTGATGCCTACGGTATATTTATATTTCGAGGTATATTTAACGAACTTTTCTGCCACTCCGGTATGTTCCACACTGATAGATCTGACTGTTGCTCCGGAGACGGTGCTGGAAGGCATTGTGTATTCCACCTGGCATTCTCGTACCAATGCGTCCCACTCAGGTACCGTGTCGTGAGGTGCCAACATCAGTTTACAGGCTAGCAAATGTGGCCGTAATGAAGCTGTTGGAAAAAGAGGACAGGAAAACATAACTAGTTACATACTAGGTCTAGAATTCAAAACACAAAACATGATGAGAAAAGATTATCCAACAGATCGATGTGTGTGAGGAGCATTTTGATGATTCATAGTTTCGGACAAGTTGGAAAATTCGGTCGGTGGGTATGTTTTACGATAGTTCACTTTTTGGCACAAAAGCTTCATCAGATCAGACAAAACGCTGCTTGACCAGACGAAATCTTTGTGTTGAAAAGAAAACCAAGTGCCAAGGAAAACACACCGGTCAGTTGTCTTTAAACATCATGGAAAAGTTTAGAGGTTGAAGAAACAAGTAATACCCGCATTGTATATTTTTGGCAAGTATATCACAGAACTCACCTTCTGTTTTTTCTGGTATCCGTTGTATACGCCACACGATTGCTCTGTAGAGGTGCTCATATTTAGCCAATCCCGTGCTTGCTTCCAGAATGTTAGGTGGCAAGAGGCTTTGTGCCATCTGCGTGAGTCGTTCCAATCCTTTAATACGACCCGGTTTGCGTAACGTGGAATGGACTGAGCCATATTTGTGCTGTTTCTCCACTCGGAAGTGGTAAATCCAATCTTCCGGAACTGGAATGCGGATCTCCACGTTCTCACAAGGCACGGCACCTCGACGATTGCTCGCGCTGAAAAATCCTGGAACAAGCAATTCGCAACGCATCAACACTCGGCGACCATCGATGGAATACTTAGTGCTGACAAGCAAAGGGAGTTCACGATTACGGCGTAAGCTAACGCGAAACCGCAACAATTCAAATCGACATCCATCTAAGGGATAGAATTTCAACATGTGATCCTCCTCGTATGCGTCCATCTCCACACATGAGTGAAATTCCGGATTTCGAATGCTAATCCATTCATCGTGCATGACGGGTAGAATATCAGATCGCCTCACCACCTCGCGACCGTAACGCCACTTGTCATTCAGGCCCAAGACAATATGTGGACCACCATTTACGAATGCTGTGCACAAAATACGACAACGAGCCTTTTGTTCTTGTATTGTTCCCTGTGCGGAAACTTTCCCAATATATTCATCTACAACGTAACAACACACCTCTTCGCGCTGGTAACTCAAAGTGGAGTCTTTATGAGCGGCAATTTTCATCAGCGCATCCTCGAACACCGGCATTATTGTCCGTATCTTTTGTTGATCAAGTGAACCAAATTTGAGTATTTCCGTGTACACTGGCAAGTGATCAATAGCGATATTTTGTTTTGGTTTGTGAGTAACAAGTTTCTGTAGGTTCTTAATGGAAAATTTCTCAGGTCTGATCCCGACAAACTCACGATAAGAGACGTGGTTCAACTTAAACACATGAAGTTTCCCATATTTATCATACTGCTGCAGCTTTTCCCTAGATATTTGCATGTAGGGTTCAATACGAACAGATCTGTATGGCTCAGCAACAATCTCATTAGTTTTATCACATAACTCATGTAGATTTATTACCTTTCGCCCGTGTTCCTCCACAAACTGTAGACCGACCTCACGCCAATATCGATCCGTTGTGTACTTGCTTATTTGCTTTACGCGGGTCTTCTTCTCTGGAAACCGTAACCAGAGCTTAAACCACGTCCCTTCCTCTACAAGCGGATAAAAGGGTTCATCCAATTCGGGATCGGGAGTGTCCGGTCGGGGAGCAACTGGCCTCTCTGGCTCAGGCTTAGTTGCTGTAGTCGACCAATCAACCTCAAATGCTGCATCCGTTGCAAGCACTGGTTTTCCTGTCTCTTCCTCAGGTTCTTGGGAATCACCACTAAAACGTATCCAACCAGTAGGAATAGTCTGATTTACCAGTGCGTCACCGGATTGTTTATTGGTATCAGACTCTCCAAAGAGAACTTCTTTTTCTAACAACAAGACTTCGGTGGGTTTGTCTGGATCATTTGGACTTGAAAGGGCCTTGATTACGGAATTGAGTTCTTTAGAAGAGGGTTCTGGTAATAACTGTATCGGTTTTTCACCTATCACAACAGACAGTGCGGGGATGTGATCTGATTGTTGTTCTTCTGAACTAGCGGATTCATTTTCACTTTCCGGATAAATGGTTTGCAGAGGATCAAAGCTTGGACCCTCCACCTCTTCAAGTTTCCACTTCTCATCCACCTGTTCAGTAGGTTGGATGTCTCCAACACACTCAATTTTATTATCTTCTCCAGAATCGTTTGAACTCTCATAGGCACCGTACTGCTTACGCACACCGACACGTGTTCCAGTCAGTTCAATTCCAGCTGCAGCTCTGACAAGTTCGCTAATCTCAGGTTCATCCTCTTCTTCTCTTTTACGAAAGGGATTGTTACCCGAGAGTGTTTCCTGCCTGACGGCTTTCTTCCTGGGTCGTACTATGTCACTGGTTGCTGCGGTCTTTATGAAATCTCCTGCATCCTGGGAACTAGGATGTTGTAGACTAAAGTCGTCGCCTCCGAACGGACTGATATCCGCGCCTACGTCATCTGCATGAACCTCGCCGAAACCCCCCCAAAGCAGGTCATCACTTGTTTCCTCATCAGCATCACTTGGGTCCAGCCCGTCCTTGTCTGGAAACCTATGGACATTTTCAAATTGCGCTGGTTCTTCTGCACCATTGTCCAGTGCAACAGTGGAATCTGTTTCGCTCAGCTGTGTTGCCTTGGGTCCCAAATGTTCTGCATTAGCCGGTAACACAAAAGTATCTACCTGTGTTCGCGATAACTGGGATTCGGTGTTCATATTGTGCTCCTCAATACCAGTCGGTGTAACCTCCGTCATGGGTCTCATAGTAGGAGGCGTCAGGACTTCAGTCCTTGGCTGTGTATACTCTTGACTAACCTCCAAAGCAACTGGCGGTTGTTGAGTACCCACTACCGTACTAGACAAATCCAGAAGTGTACTTAAGTCTTTAGTGACTTCCGCCGATGAAATCGATTCTGTTGGTCCAGATGCTACGTCTTTATCACTGGAAAGTAATATATCAGCCGGCCAGTCATTCTGATAGTGTGGTTCGTATAGAAGGTTGAGATAAGTGGAATCCGGTTGTTCTGGTGTTAGTTCACGACCTGTTACAATCTGTTCAGAACCCTCAGCATTGAAATAAAAAAAGGGCTCAAAAGCTTTGGATTCCTCTTTTCCTTCCCACGGATTCTCTGTTAGAATGGGAGTAGGAGTAACTTCGGTACTAAAGGCGGCTTCAAAATTGGCCCATCCCTCAGCCGACTCTTCTTTCTCTTTAAGATCAGTAGTCTCGTAGGCCGGAATAATCTCGTTTGACTTAGAGGATTTCTCTAGAACAGCATGTTCTATCTCGGCGGTGAGGTTGTGGAATGTTTCCCAGTCCTCGGAGGAAGATTTCTGTGGTACAGCCTCCGCCCCCTTCAAAAGTCGATCTAATTCTTCCCGTTCTTTTCGCTTTTGTCGTTCCGCCTTCGTTTCCCCGCGAATAATCCGTTGGATTGCTTTCTTTGGATTGGGAACAACACTTTTTTCCAAGTGTTTTCGAAATGGAAAATTAGGATCCGGATCAGATGGCAGAGGTCCTAGAAACGAAGTAGGGTGAAAAAGGAATTACATTTAGGACTCTAAGCGATACCGGATAAACATTTTAGGAATAATTACTACTTTCGCTTATGCAGGGATGAGTGTCTAACCATAAGACTTCAGCCATCATCATGAACGTGTTCTACCATTGTCTCTGAGGCAACTGTCTCCGGCAGCGCAGCATCCATGACTCTCATGCCGCTCCCTTTATTTTTAGTATATAAATAAATAAATAGTCCATATCTAAATTAATAGTACGGCCTAAACCGTAAACGCCAAGAAACCAAGTTCCCGACTATCATCAACCGCACAAAAAACATTGAAGCACTGATACAGAAGGATGGTTAGTTGCAGATTCATGGAATGCCTTGTCTATCAAGAGCACTCCACTTGTTGTCGAATAACTTTACTCTACTAAGTCCAATCGTTGCTGCTCGATTAGAAGTTTCACCACACACTAGAGGCTTTGAAACTGATACAAACCGAGTAGCAGCGCACATTCATACAAATACTTCATGGCATTATAGAGCTTGTGACAAAAATCCCCTGACCAGTCAGCGACATGCTACTGACCTAGTGTACATGTCGACACAATTCCTGGACACCTCGTCGTAACCGCTGGGTAAGAACTGAGTCTAGCCGTTCCTTCAGTCAATGGCTGGAACCCAGTTGCGTGTGACGATAGTGTCATAATTCTCTCTCCACCGCCTTTCAGCAGCATTTTGTGTAGATGGATTTAGTCGCGAACATGAGACGTTCTCTTGATCGATTGGAAGCTCCAATTAGACAGAATCCTTCCGTACTCCAAAAGTATGGTAAAGATAACATCGCGCACATGCTCATAAAAATGTTTATGCTTATAACATCCGGTTTTATCTCTATCCGCGGAAACTGACGATAGTGACAAAACTGGACCTAGCGATGACATCAGAAAATAAAGGCGCGTACGTCAAACTGCCTTAATTTATATGAGAATGGTATGCATTATTTGGAATGTAATTGTTAATGCTGTCGCGTCAACAAATCTTCTATCATCTACATCAGTCATTAACAACGGGGATTATAGAAAATTTTCAAGGGGCCTTGAGAGTGAAAAACATCTTAGGGGGACCATAGGGGGGCCATGCGGGGGAAAGTGGGTTTTGGTAACACCAATAACAAATGTGATTTCTCTGCTAGTTTTTCTTTGTGATCCAATCTTTCCTGGTTACTAGCGGTCAGTGACATGACTTACGCCTGCGGAACTTGCTCTTTACGAGCATGTGAAAGCCTGCCCGGACAGACTTTCTCTCGCGCAGCTGGCATGGCTGCGCGAACCTTGAGCGGATTTCACCGGGTTCATTTCAAACATAAAATCAGCATGTCGGGATTCAGACTGCGCAAGTGAACACCCATCCATCCCCAGGACGTTGAACCAACTATGCTATATGCAGGACACTGATGCATCTACTGCGCAAACTGCAGTGAACCTACTGAACTCTCCTCATGTCGCTAAAGATATGCATCGTGTCGATCCGCGGTGAACGATTTGAGCCCTCCTCAGCACACTGCGGCGTTTCTGCACAGAGGCACACGGACATTAACACAGTTTCCCCCAGGACACAAGCACTGGTGATTTTTCATGTGCCAGTTAACCAATGTTTCTCATTGGGGCTAAATACAGTCGTGACAGGTTACGCGTTTTTCGTCTATCGTCTCAGCCCGCGTGTACGTTTGGCGGCTCAGTCACATTAGCCCGCAACGTTCCAAATTCGAGTGGCTACTCTGCGCATGTCGTACTATCTTTGAGGAACGTTCGTCCATTACGACCAAGAGTGGAAACGACTAGGACGCGTTATAACGCTCTCGTAACATTCAGTTCAGCGAAGGTCTGCAAATTATCAAGTAGGTTTGTTAATTTATATCATAAGGGTAGACATCTGGTTTCTGTCGTACTACATGATCAGACCACTTAGTTAGACTGGTACACGCATAGTCGAAAAGTATACAACTTATAGACTTATAGACCTAATATGTACACGCGAATACTTCGCATACTACTCATAATATTCAAATGCGTTGTCAACACCCATTGGGCGTCACGCATGGCAATAACCGATGTACGCTCCTACTTACGCTGCTGGCGCTCCCATGCCAGTTTCTTGAAACATCCGGCAATTCCTTCCGTGTATGTCTCTTCTGTCCTTCATGTTACTTGCTGTCACTGTTTGCTCCAAATTTGCCCTGGTTAATATGAGTACAGTGAGGTTTCTCACTTTCCACTTTCTCTTTGTTTTCGTGATCCGTTGGCTTTCATCAAGACGGGTTCTTTTAGTCCTATTGCTTATCCATGGTATTTCAAAATGTATAGTCAGGAACCACTTTTAGGTTGCCTCCAACATAGTTTCTACATTGTTACCTTTTTTCTATTTTGTCCACAAATTAATGTCACAAGTATGCTTACCATATATCATTCCATAAGCTGACTCTAAAGGAAGAATTAATTTAGTATCCCCAATCATTCATGTCATCTGCGTTTCGCGTTGTCCAAAGGTGCTATTTTATACCCATGATGTAACTGTGTAAGCCAAATAAAGCAATAGCAATGTTATATGAGAGTACATATTCACCATTTACAATGGCATATTTCAGAAATGAGCTCATCGGCAATAAATAAAATTCTACAGTGTTCCGCGAAATACTTGTCATTTGGATTTATCGCATCACCTCAAAACTCCACTCTACCTGTGTGTTTAATTTGCCAGAGCACTCTTTCAAATGAAAGCATGCGACCAAGTAAACTGAAAAATCATTTGGAAACTGTTCATAAGGACGGAAGCAGAAAGTCTGTGGATTTTTTCGAAAGCTGCCTGATAGTTTCGAAAACAGACTAACTAAAAAAAGTTTCTGACAGTTCAAAAAAGGCGAGTGGGCTTACTGCGTCTCATAAAATTAGCAAGTTGATTGCTCGAAATTGCAGTCCACATACTGTTGGAGAAAACCTTATTTTGCCTTCAGTGTCAATAATACTGTCGGACGTGATGAACATGAATCCTCTAGAAGCGGTTCAAACCATTCCGCTCAGCAACTCCACTGCATCCAGACGAATAGATGAGATGGCTCTGGACACAGAAGGTACTTTGGTTAGTTTACTACAGTCCAGAAAATTTTCGTTACAAGTAAACGAATCGAACTACCTGATAAGGACGCTCTTCTCCTGTCATATGTCCGCTTATTCAACGATGGTGAATTAATGGAAGAAATGCTGTTTTTCAGGATAATGAAAAATAACACGAAGAGCCAGTCTCTATTTTCGAGGTGGTCAATGACTATTTGACAAAAAACCCCATCCCAATTCAGAACGTAGTTGCATGTGCAACAGTTGGTGCTGCCGCAATGGTCGAAAGATGTAAAGGATTTATTGCCTATCAAAAAAAGTTCTCCCTCGTGTTCATACAAGTCACTCTGATTTATCGAGCGCACCTAGTGGTTAAGAAGTTGGGAGGGCGCTTAGACGATTCACTGTCTACTGTTATAATAGTAGTCGACAATATCAAGTCGCGCCCACTTCAAAATCGTCTTTTCCAGCAGTTGTGTGAGGAGAACAATGAAGATTTCCAGGTGCTACTGTTACATACAAAGGTTAGATAGCTCTCCAAAGGCTACCGTCTTCGTCGCTTTGTTGCACTCTGGGACACCATCATCACTTTCCACTCTGGAATTGATTATGAGAGAAAGCTGTTAACAGCGAAACCTAATGTGGTTTACCTTGCTGATACATTTGGAAAACTCAACGTACTAAATAAAACTCTTCAAGGCAAGTTGAATGAGCTCATCTCAATTAAAGAAGCCATTATCGCTTTTAATAACAAGCTCGAAGTGTATTCTCAAAATATCGGATTTCGAGAATCTTCACAGTTCCCTTTTCTTGCTACAATTACGGAGGAGCTGAGGCATGAAGACTTGGTTGTTTGTGCGTCATTTACAACAGATCGAAAAGGAAGATAGGTTTCACGATCTGATTACCATGGAAATCCCGACTTGGGTTTTAGATCCATTTGATGTAAAGTCCTGCAATGTTGGAGTTAATATCCAGGAAAGTCTTATTGGGCTTCAAACTGACACGCTAGTAAGATCTAAATTCGCACAGTATAATAAGGATTTTTGTATAAAGACCCATGCCACTAACAAATATCCCAAACTGTGGGAATTAGCTGAAATATAGTTCCTTGCTTTTCCCTACACGTATCTGGCTAAGTGTGGATTCAGCAGAGTAGTTTCTCTCATAAAAAGTAGAAACAGACTGGACATCACAGCAAGAGGAGATGTTCGACTCTCACTGTCAAGTCTGGAGCCGAACATAAGCAAGCTTGTTGAAGAATATCAGGCTCAAGATTCGCACTAATTTCAACAAAAGCATAATTGAGAAGTTACTGTACCACTTTATTCGTCACCTGCTTTACATATGAAAGCTAGCGATAATGGAAACCAATTCTAACTAATTATGATAAGTCTTATGTAATGACGAATAATTGGTTCGTGGTTGGTACATAATGAGTGTGATCTTCAGGATGTGAAAGACCAAGCGTGCGGTGTATGAAAGATAAATCAGTGATGCCGACATTAGAAATTTAGCGATGACAACTATAGTTACATGATAAATGCAGAGCAAAGATTTACGTCTTTTAGATCTTGCGGACCGCAGAAAAGATGGTAATCATGGGTAGGGGGCCCTAAGAACTGGAAGGATTCAAAAAGGGGGCCACGGATGAATAAAGCTTGAGAATGTCTGATCTACACAGTACGGGTTCCTTTAACTGTGTTCAAGTAGTACTTATTAACTAAATTTCCATGATCCCCTAACGAAGCGGATAGGTCTAGGCAGGGTCTGCACTGCAATTCACTCGGATCTTCAATGTTTGCCGACATGTTTCACATAAAAGGCTCATACATAAGGTGGCCATACGTCCCGCTTTAGGCAAGACAGTCCGGCATTTCAACCTATCGTCTTGCTTTTTTA